TTCGTGTTAAACCATTAAGTGTTTTATTTAAACATTATTAAGTAACTAATATTTTTATTTATTCTGATTATAACTCTTCAAATAGAAGTATATATCCCCCCCCCCCCCGGGGCCCTTTCCCGGCTCCCTTGCCCAGGTCGGCGTCCCCCAACCTATATTAAACGTAGTTCTTTTTATGTATAACGTAAATCTGTAGTTAAATTACGTAGTTAAACTGTTTTTCAAAGTTCTTAAACAAATATTAAATTAAATAAAAAATGCATTTAGCTATCAAAAACATCTCGACATGTAATTAATTTTCTTGACAAGTATTGAAATAGCCAACATTCAATTTGGAATGTATAAAGAAAAACTAGGAAATCTATTTTCGCTTTAAGTTTATTTACGTCAGATCCCAGGAAAATAAATTTTCAATAATATATGACTCGTTTTGATCCGTTAAAAGTGTTTTGTTTAACTGTGTATTACTCGTATACACTACTGACAATACTTACAAGACTTTTTATGACGAGAAAAACTACAAAATTATTTATAATTTCTAAATAAATATTTTTATTTATTATTAAAGAAGCAATATTTTTTTATCATAAAATTTATTAACTATTTTATTTACGCAGTCGATGGTTTAATTAGCATTATAATTCTCGGATCGTGGCTTTGATTCTAAGTGGATACAACTTGTTTACACAAGTTATTTTGGATTTTCAAACCATGTTACAATTCGCACATAAATTATAGACGTTAAAGGGTGGCCCGAATATGGAAAAGCCGGATCACGATTTCCGAACGTTCAAAATATGCCGACAACGCACCTTGTTTAGTTGTTACATGGCTCAGGTATTTCACTCGAGCGAACCCCACTTTTGCCTGTTCTCCTCTGTCATCAAAAAATCTTAAGTTGCAGCAGATTTTCTATAAAACATATTTCACGGATTAAAAGGCGAAATATATTAGTTAATTTATTTTATTATTTTAACAACGGCCTGCCGTTTCGAATGCTTTGTAGCCGTGGTCACAGCTTTCGAAATGTCGGCCCGTAGTTAATGTATACGGTAAGTAAATTAACTAACATGTTTCTCATTTTAAACCGTTAAACGTGTTTTATTTAAATGTGCACTACTCGCAAAATCTACTTCTTTACAGTAGTATACATGTGTCAAGCATTTGTATCATTTAAATTAAAAATATAACTGTAACGCGGAGAGTCCCCGTCAATTTATATGCGTTATACTGAAATCCATGTTTACTGTAATTATAACACTCGTTTGTACGAACAAAGCGCTTTTGTCCGTCCATATCGTGAACTATTCGTATAGACGTTCATAGTCAAAGACGTAATTTGCATTACAGATATTCTGGATCGTTACTTTTTCAGGATATCCCTTTGTGCAGTTCCTCACTGCACAATAGGTATTTCATTCCGATGGCGATATACTTGCAGCGAATAGAAACGCAAAATTGTACTTAGTTATCGCATTACAACATTCTATTAAAACGAATAGAAATGTTTTGTGAATACATTTTACAAATAACAAGCTGTTCCCGCGACTTCATCCGCGAAGAATAGATATTTTGGGCATCAACAAATTTGTTTTCGCACTCCTCATGTTAATTTATTATGCTGTTATACCGTTGTCGCGTCCCATCGTTCTTGTAAGTTAATACTTAAACATACACATACCTCTACTGTCGTGAATTTGATTTTAGATAATTTAAAAGAGTATGATGTTTTTTCTACGTATCCCACTGTCGCTCCTATTGGCCGCGAAGACAACCAAACCCCGCGTTACATACGCGTAATCAATCTAAATAAAATATAGTATATCTGTGCGACCCCCCTCATCTCTTACAGTACAGCACGGAACCGCGGTTTTCACTAATAGATTGAGTACATATTGGGTCTCTAAAATTGGTTTAATTGCATTGAAATCCAATGCTAACAATAATATATTTTTTCCCGAATAAGACCTTTGTCAGAAGTCACTACTAATATGAGCAAAAATTAAAAAAATGCGTACTCTAATCAATTGAGTGTACGAGTAAATAAAGTGTGGTCATGATTGGAACTCCCAACCTATCGGTTAATGTCAGCCAATGTATCGTAGGTATGTATGCACATACATACTTTGTTTTATAGAAAAAACAGCGTATTTCCAACACGTGCTATTTTATTTTCCACATTAGAAATGATTAAATTCTTAACTGATAAGGCATTTTAATTAATCGGATTACAGAGTTATTAATACTACTTAAAAACTATCTAGAAAAGTGTTTGCAGATAAAATTTTAGGGCGATAATTTCTGATGTTATTGTAGTAACAAGAGATTTGATTAAACAATCGTTTTAAATCAGGGCACATTAAATATTTACTTTAAAATTTCATGGTTTTGTATACATGCAAAAAGGATATTTCTTACTTACGATAACTATTATTATCAAATCCTTGGTATGTGCAACATATCTTGTGTCTACTAGTAGACCAACATTGCCTAAAATATTGCACATCATTGCATTTTCTAGAAGGCCACATGGAGTACACTTGGATAGAATGTGGTTTAGGTTAGCGCATACATGATTTAAATAACAATTTCAGAAACATATACATAAACACTGACTGTAGTTTACGAGAGTAGTACACGTTTAAACAAAACACTTTAACGGTTTAAAACGCGATATATATTAGTTAAACTTATTTGAAAGTTATTTAACCACGGCGCGACTGGGAGAGACACGGGGAGACTAAAGATGTGGGTAGGAGGGTGTTCTCTGATGACAAAGTTAAAATGCTAGTTGTTCCGTCGTAATTGGTATTTGGGGCCCTTGCAGAAATGACTAACGGTAATACAGTAAGTTTAAGTGATATATATATATATATATATATCGCGTTTTAAACCGTTAATGTGTTTTTTTTTCAATATATATAAGTATATTATATATATAACTATATACCACTCGTTTCCTTAAAAGCTTTAAACTAAAAATTTGCTTTTGTTTCATTACCCTAAAAGTTTATTTCAATATGTTGTGTACGAATGACATTTCGCTGATTCATAAAATTAGAAAAAAAGAAATCTTGCAGCGACGTAAAGACGAATTTCTTTTCAAAATCAAATTCTGTATCTGAATCGTGCAGAGTAAACTTCTGCCAATATTTTATTTAAATGGCCGAAAGTTTCCACGCCGAGGAAAGACGTCGAAGGTTTCCATTTAAAATGTGATTTATTTCTCAACAGAACGGTGAAATTGTTTAAATGAAAAATATAGAGATGTTTCAATTTGATTTCCGCTCATTTTAAATAACCAAGTATACTTACACTGAATATCTGAGCCTACACAGCACAAGAGTTTTAGCTAAAATAATGTTTGCAAACATGATAGAGGAGAACAGACCAGCAAGGGATTCACTGAATCAAAACTGAAAATGGCCTCTGAAATGAAAACTCCAATAACAAAGGTCTGATATTTTAACATTTTAATACTAAAACCTAAGCAGGTCTCGACTGCTGTTGAATTCGGAGACGGGAGTATGTGGCAAGATGAATTTTTGATATTCCTACCAACAAAAATTTCACATTCTACATAATGTTATAAAAGTAGGTAATTGAATACTGTCTATAGTTTACGCGAGTAGTGCACATTAAAATATAACACTTTAACGGTTTAAAACGAGATATATTAGTCATACTTATTACTTATTAAGTCTCCCCCGTCACCACGGCTGCTGCAAAGCATCCGAAACGTCGGACCGAAGTTAAAAAACCATTTTCAAATAAGTTCAAATAACGGCCCCCCCCCCCCGCGATGTTTTTAATTTATCCCGTACATATATAAAAGTACTGTTGGAACTAAGTGTTAATAAATTTGATCAAGTAAACTTAAAGAACAAGCAAATGTTCTTCAATATTTTGCCGTGATATAAAAATAATTGTTTATATATTTTCAATTACGTAACAACCGTTTTTAGGGCAATAAATATATATTATGTACAACAAAGACTAGCGCTACACACGACACGTTAATTACTTTTACACAAATGCTTATAACATAGCGCCGTTATTGAAATGAGAAATGTTGTGTTATGTAACTATTTACAATCTTTATGAGTTTATAAATACATCATATAATGCAGTATTTATATTACTGCTTTACATAATGTATTTTTAAAAATACCTTAAATGGCTGAGTGTTTTTTTGCCGTCATTCATAACATACATATACACGTAAAAATAATACTATTTTTATACCATATTACATATTATAGTTTGGTAAAAATATTTATACGAAGATCAGAAACGTAGTCTTACAAGGAATTAAGTTAAAAACTAATGTACACAATTTTTTTTTATAAAATACTGTCTAAGAGAACGTATTTGATATATTAAATTCCATCGTATCAATTTAACTAATTAGGTCTTTGATAATCATTGTATTATTGTTTTTATAAGTTTACCTTTTCTATTGTCATGCATACTTCTTTTGTAACTGCGTTTTCATTTTCACCGCGGTTGCTTAGAAGAGATAGCTATTTAGCTATAAAGCCGACGTTTGTTTGTAATTTCCATTTTATTTATTCTAATTTTAATGTCTATAATCTTAACATATTAATGTCTGTTCCAAACCCGTTATAAACCTATTTATTATTGTAACAGGCGGAAACCTATATTTAAAAATCGAAAATAAATTGAAAAATTTCGGCTCGGGCAGGACTTGAACCGGCATCGACAGCGTTCCGTCAGAGCAACAGCACGGAATGCTGACGATGCCGGTTCAAGTCCTGCCCGAGTCCATAATTTTTAAAATTTATTTTCGATTTAAAATATATAGTGCCTTTATGTAATTACACGTAAAAAATAGTTTTCAGACGGAATCCTGAAAAATCATTAATGATTACTTATCATAATCATTTCGGATGTTTTGACTTATCTGATAGTTTTTTGCTTATATACAAGAAGCAATTGCAGGAGAACAATAAAATATAATTGCTACAAACTAATTCGTAATGAAGATTACGTTGTTGTGTGCTTTGGGTACGTTTATATTATTACAATAAATGCAAGAAAATATTTATGTCATATATATTTTCGTATATGTATGATAGTTCTCTAGTCATATAATCCGCGGTATAAGGAATCTATACTAATATATAAAGCTGAAAAGTTTGTTTGTTTGCTTAAACGCGTTAATCTCAGGTACAACTTATTCGAATAGTTTTTTTTCTGTTGGTTAGACCGTTTATCGGGGAAGGCTATAAAACATCGCACTGTGAATAATAGGCTCAAAATAGCGGAAAATGTGGAAAAAACGAGGAAAGTAATCATCTTTGTGGGTTTTCGATGTTCAAGATACCTAAATAATGTAGAAGAAAGAATGTTTTCTCTTATATGATTTAAAAAATGGCTACGACACTATATATCCATTTATTAAGATTAACTTGCAAGAACGACGGATCATGAGAAGAAAGATGAAGAGAAGGTTAACGGTTTTACGCGGAAAAAGTCGCTGACACAGCTAGTGTTTAATATCATTAAAAGTGTCAGGTATAACAATTTTTAGTTTCACTTTTTAATGTAGACATCATTTTTTATTCTAGTGTACGCGGCGACAGCGGTGCCGACCTCCGGGACGAAATTTTACCCGCGCTACATTCAATTCCCAGGGGGTGATGGCGAGATGCACCGAGTTGATTTAGAAGCAGAACCTGATGTGGAATTTTTGAATGAAATGCAGAGAAATCCGGCAAATAATCAATATCTATTGTTCACGAGGTCTGCAGTTTTTTTACAATTTCATTTTTATTTGAAACAACATAAGTCCATAGGGAATTGATTTGTCTTTTGAAGCATTGCTAAAACATAGTTTATGTTATGCTTCGATTAGTTATAAGATGAGGCTGCTAGAGCCAGAGTGGCCTAATAACACGAATTAATACGGAGTAAAATAAAAATGCGCAATTAACTTAAGCGAAAATGAATTGAACTATTATATGTGTTAAAATGATGTAAAATTTTTTCGGTCACTGTGCTCTTATAGATATAGACTATAAAAATATAAATAAGTCAAGTCATATAATTGCAGTTAGGCTACTCTGACTCTAGCGGCCTCATATACGTATAGCTTCAGTATTATCTTACTACGTTAGAAACACAATTGTAAAACTTAATATATTTATTATTATTTAATTCTATATTATTTACCAGAAGAAGTGGTTTATGTAGGTACATTGTCCATTTGTTAAGAGTTTTCAGTTACCAAATTTTCTGTATTCTTATTCATCTACGGATTAAGTGTGAATAATTTTCTCGTTTCAGACGCAACCGACGTAATTCTCAAACGCTAAGGATAAATGATGCTAATTCTATAAGGAACTCCAACTTCAATGCGCAACATCCGACCGTTGTGTCTGTACACGGCTGGCTCAGTAACGAAAATACCAGAAACAACCCGACTATTCGTGATGGTATGAAACACTATAAACTGTTTTTTTTGTTATCTTGTATATCGTACTGTTTGAATTACATTTAACGAAAGTTACTAATTAGCTTATAACCTTTAAATTTATATCAATTTGAAGGGATACAATACCAGAACGTTGATGTCAATGTTCAAGTCCCGACCGACGCATTTTTTTAAAATAAAAATAGAATTAAAATATATCCCCCTATTTAAAACACTTTTTAATAAAACAGTTTTAACGGTTTGAAACGCAAAATATAACAGTTAATTTATTTTTCATTTAACTACGGTCGGATGCTTCAAATGATTTGCTGCGTATTTAATGTGTCACGGAGGGATCCCCATGACACAAGTTATATATTTTGATGATATAACTAATATATTTGCGTTTTAAACCGTTAAAACTGTTCTATTAAAGTATTTTTTTTAAATATGCACTACTCGCGGTTACGGGTTTGTAACATAAAAAAGCCTTTTTTCACTGTTATACATTCTGTTATTAAAATGGTAAATAATACGCAGTAGTTTTTCCCTCCTTGTAAGCCAAATTTTTAGGTAAAAAGGGAGTATGTTTTGAGATTTAATATTGTACACTTTGTGTCTCATATACTTACTAACTCATTACACAAATTATTTCAGCTTTTCTGAATCAAGGCGAATACAATGTAATAATCATGGATTGGAGAAGACTAGCCATGAGGGATTATGTCACCGCGGCTAATGGTGTACCAGCTATCGGTCGTGCTTTGGGCCAGTTCCTGAACTTCCTCCACCAGACGACTGGTGCACCATTCAATACCATGCACCTCGTTGGTTTTAGTCTTGGTGCGCACGTTGTGGGGAATGCTGGAAGGGAACTTAGGGGTCAAGTAGCTCGGATTACAGGTGTGTTCAAATAATAAAAACGAAATTTCAAATTACCATAGCTTAAGAATAACAGATGGAAAAAATAACATAGTATTTTTATATTTACTACTTAGTTTTGGTCGTGAAGTTTTTTTATAATTTATTTTAACTACGGCCCGACGTTTTGGATGCATCGCGGCAGTCGCGGTCACGCGGGGTCTGTAAATGCAGTGTCCTTAGTCAAAGCAAAAACTTATAGCCTAGCGCTATCTGTGCTACGCTGTAGCTAAATCAAACTGTAAATAAGCGATATATCGCGTTTTAAATTGTTAAATGTATTTTTTATGTGTAATTAGTACAGTACTTCCGCTTCGGATGCCTTTGTAGCAGCCCCGGTTTTTTTTTCAATGATATGGATAATTTCTATTGGAAAAGCATTCGTCACCGCTGGTAGATCGGTGATGTTTTAAATCTAAGATTGACAAAGAATTAGGGCAAACATTTTATCCCTTATTTAAAGATTATAATAAAAAGGTTGTATCTTCTTTATGTTGATATCCAAAAAGTAACGGATACTCTAAAATAGTGTAAAGGTATTATACGGTTTGAACACTAATTCAGTTAAAATTTTAATAAATATAAACAAAGTTTTGTTTCCTAAAATAAGAACGACTTCGAGCTTTGGCAAATATAAATAAACAGATCAAGATGAAGTAAAACTTCAGGTTGCCTGGAAGAGATCGCTACTTAGCGATAAGGCCGCCTTTTATTTATGAGTTAGCACGTAAGATTTTTCCTCATTTATATGTATTTTCTGTAGTGTGTTTTATAAATAATAAAGCAATCTTCCAGGTCTCGATCCAGCGGGTCCTTTGTGGAACGTCAACAGGAATCGACTTAGTTCTTCTGACGGCATTTATGTAGAAGCGATCCATACTGACGGCGGATACACTATAGATGGCCTGGGCATTGGAAGTCCGATAGCCGATGTTGACTTCTTCCCCAACGGCGGCAGGAGCCAGCCAGGATGTCTCACCAATTTATGCAACCATAACCGAGCTTGGGAACTGTTTGCTGCGACCGTCGCTAGAAACCATTTGGAGGGTAGACAATGCTCGTCGATGTCTCAAGTTAATTTGAATACGTGCCGCGGAGGCAGGCTGAATATGGGCAACGCTATTTTGAACAAACGAGGGTAGGTAGGCTCCCACATACGACAATAGGTACCTAGCTATTGTCGTATGTGGGAGCTTTCCTAAACAGACCTTAATAACCGTAGATATATATTTTACATTAATAAGTGTAGAAATTTAAATAAATCACTTTAATGGTTTAAAATCTAAATATAATAGTTTAACTTCTTTAAAAAATATTTTAAACACGGCACGACGTTTTGGATGCATTGCAGTAGCCGTGGTCACGGGGAGACTAAAGGTGTTAAAGTGTTTTATTTAAATGTCAACTACTCTCGTAAACTACAGACAATATTTAAGTAGTGTAATATTTTCTTTTATAAATAAGTGTCATTAACTATATTAGTTTACAACGCGATATTATTTATTAGATTTAATTAGTTAACAGTGTTGTATTTATTAAAGTACATATAATCTATATCTATAAAGCTGAAGAGTTTGTTTGTCTGAACGCGCTAATTTCAGGAACTACTAGTTTGAAGTGAAAAATTATTTTTGTGTTAGAATATTTATCTAGGAAGGCTATAGGCTATAAAACATTGCGCTGTGACTAATAGGAGCGAAGAAGCAGCGGGAAATGTAAAGGAAACGGGAGATCTTTTTTTGATCTATGGGCTTCCGATTCGTACGCTGCGTAAACGGTTCAAGATACCCAAGAAATATATATGAGAGAATAACTCCTTTTTGAAAAATCTAAAAAAAAAGATTAACTTAATTTATTAACTAACGATTAACTTGTAAGAAGAACAGGATCCGAAGGATGGGTCGGTCGCGGGCGACGCGACACGTCTGATGTCGATGTCGGATTGCAGTTTAAATTTATAATCATGAAGAGGAGGTTTTCAAAAACAAATTTGGATGCCCAAAATAACTATTCTACGCGGACAAAGTCGCTGGCACAGCTAGTTTATTATATTGTTTGTTTCAGATCTGGCATCTACCGTCTCACCACAGGATCTAGGCATCCGTTTTAAGGAGCAACAATATAAAATAAAAAAATAGCTTTTCATTTTCATTTAATCGATTAATAGTGATATCCATTACAATTAATAAATCGTTTACATATTAAATATTATTTCAAATAAACAATTCCTATCTCCTTTTCAAATTGTGATAACGAAGTTTTATCTTTACACATTATTTTGTAAATATATACAATTATAAAATACTGTGTATATTTTACGCGAGTAGTACACATTTAAATAAAACACTTTAACGGTTTAAAACGTTATTAAAATGTTTTATTTAAATGTATACAATTATATATTAAATATTACTAAGTACAGTGGCAATTTATTTTCAAATAAAATACGTTAACGGTTTATAACGCGATATATATTAATTAAACTTATTTGAAAAAATAGTTTTACTACGACTTTGCAGCAGCCGCGGTCACAGGGAGACTAAGGACGGAGACTGTCTTGACGTCAAAGTAAAAAATTGCTACGCTAGCGCCATCTGTTCCGTTAAGGTTGCCATTTGGTACAGACAGTATTTGAAATTTTATGTATTTTCCACAATGCTATTATCTGGAGCTTTATACACAGTTTTGAGTATTGTAAAGTATGACCAAGAAGTACTTATAATCTGAAAAGTAAAACGTACTATTAGTTTGAAAATTGTCGTGTTGATCAAAGTTTAATTATACAAGATTCAAAGGCCGTAAAATAGTTCGACCGATGGTGAGTTTCAGTTACCTTGGTGAAGCTCTCATAGGAAATAACTGAAAACTTGTACGCGGTCAGCCTCTGCGGTTTATTCGCTCTGAAATGGATTGGAAGCCGATCAAATTTTGGAAAACATTCTGAGTTGCAAAATTGAATGGTTTTGCCTATATTTATTAACTAAAAACCCATCTTATGCCTTATTTATAATTAAAGCAATACAAATTAAAGACAGTCTTGCGCACCGAATGAGTAATCATTTTATAAACTATAATTAAATTGAAATAATTTAATGACACGGTAGCTCAATTGGTTCGAGCAACAGCACGGTACGCTGGTTCAAGTCCTGCGCCAGTCGTAAATTTTTTCAATTTATTATCAATTTTTAATTATAATTTGGCTAAAGTTTATTAAGTTCTTTATACTTTAAACTTTATATCGCATGTTAAGTCTTTAATTTTAAATTACTCGTGTAAATTACTGTTAATACTGTATTTGCGAGATTAAAGTATGTAATCTAAGAGTTATGTACAAAAATTAGATCGAATTAAAAATTCGAAAATATAGTCTTCCAATAGGGCTAGAAGGTTTTTATTGACTACACCTGAGTATGAATAAATGTTATGCTACGCCATCATGATTAAATGTTTCACACATTACCATTAAGACCTAGAGGTCCTGGGATCGACTTCTAGAGAAAAATAAAGTTTTGGTCGGATAGAGCATCGACGTTTGATCAACTTATCTGATAAAACAAACACATAAATATATCTGCCCCACGCCCCACAAGGGTAAAAGGGATGTTACATTTTATACCTGAGCATGAGTAATAAAATAATCTTCTTCGATGAAGAGTCCATTAAATACCATTCGCACTCAAATGCCGCCGAACTAATTGTTCTGCTCTGTAAAGATAACACAGAGTATATATGAAAAAAAAATTTAAAATGTTTAATCAGTCGAGCGAGGTACAAGAGTCTACTCAACTATATGCCTTTAAATATAATCAACCACAGAAAGACATTCTTATGGAGTCTTAATAGGGGCAGTGCTTGTTGGTGTAATGGTAGCTAGATATGGCTAATAAACAACGGTTCGTGGGTTTGATCGCAATCGGGTCCAACATATTTCTAATCAATTTATACGTAATTTTCCTGGATAGTAAATGGGTGGTATGAATATCGTAAACTCCGTCCGGTTAACGATTCACCGACCACTTTCTTCTTGTTTAAATATTATTTGGCTGGGATATCTGTTCCAGCCTATAGAGGCGAAACGGTGCCACACTCTTTCGCATCATTCATCTTACCTCTGTTATTAGATTTTCTCCGAAGACGCTTATCATCAATATTTGGAGAAGGACAGACATTAAGAATAAGAAAACGCCTGGTGTTTGCGTCCATTTGCCCATCTGAACAAAAAATAGAAATAAAGCCTATACGTATTAGTACCTTGTTGCTATGACTACTTTCTCAGGAACTATCTAGATTTTCTTTCTCCAAAGCAAATAAAACCAAGTAATAATAATTACAGTCAGTATTTACCGTTACGATAGATTATGCTTATATAGTAATAATATATACTTACTCGTTACAATAACGTTTTTAAAATAGACTTAATTCTGTAAATGTTACAAATTTAATAATTTAAAAGGATTTTGTTTGTTTATAATATTGTTATTCATTCATTCAATTCATTTGTTCAATTAAGTTGATGTTTCAGCTGTTGCATATTTGCATTGGAAGTTTAAATTTCAGGTAAAATAAATTCTTTAGATCAGGGAACGTCCAAGCCCCGTAACTATTACAAACTGTTGACAAGGCCAGAGAAACACACACACAAGTATGCTTCACCATGACATTAAGTGATATGAATAGATTTCGTTCATAATTATTATAAATGCATTACCGTTAAATTAAATCCCAGAGCACATATTTCAACAGATCCTATTAAAACGTTAAACAAATTCGGAGCTGTGAAGATATCTTCCAGGTCTTGAGATAATCTGTGGTGATAAGAAGCATTTTTAATGAAATATATGTCGCGAACAAGACTCTTTAAGGTCATAGAAGCTGAAGAAAACGTATTGTAAACTTTAATAAGAAAAATATTGAAAACTTTAATAATTTTTCACATGTTATTGCACTTATATAATTTAAAAATCGAAAATAAATCGAAAAAAATTACGGCTCGGGCAGGACTGGAACCGGAATCGGCAGCGTGCCTTGCTGTTGCTCTAACCACTCGGTACTTGGTGACTCGGTAGCTCATTTCGTTAGAGCAACAGCACGGGACGCTGTCGATGTCGGTTCAACTTCTGCCAGAGTCGTAAATTTAATTTAATTTATTTTCGATTTTTGGATAAAGCAAGCTAAAAGAGCCCACGGTAGATAAGTTGGTAGTGCAATAACGCTGTTGTCGTGAGTTCAAGTCCCGTTCTTATCATGGAACGTTTTCACTGGAAATAAATTTTTAATTCATACAGCACTCACTTTAAAATATACTGGTGTTTTCTTACGATACATTTTAAAGAGCTCGTAGTTGTTTTCTTCAATACCCTTATTTCTTGACTCAGTATTGTGAAGTGACTGCACATGTGTGTCGTCATTATAAAATAAAGAGCATCTACCGTTGTAAAGTATAAGACACATATAAATCCTGCAAGGTAAACATTGTTATAAGCTTGATATGCATTTATTCATGTAGGTATACAATTATGGACGTCAGTACAGTTTGGAATAAAAACTATAATTTACATTTACTACCTGTTCCCAATGAGAGATCTAAAATGAGAGAACTTGAAGAGGCTACGCTGTAAGGAAATCCTATACAATCGATTGTTGATTTAAGTTTTTCTACACGTGTCGATACTAATAATAAATTAAACTATTGGGTGTAATGTATGGCTAATAAACATTGGGCCATGAGTCAAACTATCTAATTAATTTTAATTTTTCTGCAACATCGACATCTTGAACTTAGTTGAAAATGGATATTTACGGGTGGTAGGAATATCGAAATTCCATCCGGGTTACGAACCACTATCCACAAATAGAATAGCCATGGAGATTACTCGCATCTTGCTTTCTGTCCTCCTCTAACATATAATAACTATGTGTCTAGAAATCTTATATACTTACCACTCAGAATCGAATGAAAGTATACAACACTCCATGTCATCCAAGAATCGACTGCAAACGGGGCCAATATCGCATACGGCAGAATAAACTGAACTGTGTTTCTCTTTAAATAATAATATAAAATTAAAAATATAGTCGAAAAGTTATAGACGCTTATTAGAATCGCGTTCAACACGAAGAAATATTTCGTTAAGTATTTAAGAAAAAGAAAATTCGACTTAACCAACGATATCTTTATCTCGTCAAGAATTATTTCGTCATATAGATTTTTTAGATGCTCGGTAAACTCGAAGATGTTTCTTCGTTTCTTTGCAATCAAAATAATTTTTGCTATAGATAAGACGCCAATACAAATGCAAGGAGCCAGTTGTGTTAAATCGAGAAAGTTCTCGGCGGAGAACTTTGAAATAAAGAAGAGAAACTCAAGAACCATCATAATATTTAGCCAACACATTAAAATATAAAATCTTAATTTTACAGTGTCGTTAAAAGGAATACCGATCAACCAGAAATTGATTTTGATTTGTTTGAAAATTTCTTCAAAACCCGGAATATTTCCTTTATTAGACAACATGACGAGGCGATATTTTTAGTAATGTTCCAAACACACAGTAAAACGATCGTTTTTAAGCGTGATTGCCGTATTATAAAATTCCGTTGACAATCAGGGCTGGCAGTGACGAAGAATATATTTCTTAATACGAAGTGATCCTTTTTTGAAACGCTACGCCTGTTTTTTTGATAATTTAATTTAGATTTTGTTAATTAAGAAATTATTAAATTTATTTTTTAAAGATTCAACATATAACATTACTACAACTACTATAACAATAAGTAATAAAATAATCATTAAAGATATGATTTCACCTAAATACTAAATACACAAGAGTGGGCACTTTTAATACTGGCCGTCTCTAAAAGAAGTTTATGAAAAATAAACGTATTTCCTCGACACTGCAACAGAATATACAAAATAATTTAATACTGTGGTGTCCCGTATAATCCAGCCTGCCAGGAACATACGCGTCTTATCGTCCGCGTCGTCGTAGCGTCAGTGTAGCTTGCACAATTTTCCTTATTACCTTTGACCCGACACTTCGTTTAACTTTATGGTCCCAGTAACCCCTGAATATGACGTAGATGTTGGTATTCTTTTGTTTATACGATAAA